GTGGGCCTCTGGCTGAATGCAGGACGGTAGCGATGTGGGTGCCGACTAGCTTTCCCGGCTTTCGAACCTGTCTGGGAAGCCCCCAGCACTGGATCCTAACTGGCTCCGAATCCTGAGCCTCGCCCAAGGCCCTCCCATCCCTAAACCCGAAACCCCGAAATCCCTACACTCCAAGCCCCTTAATCCCAAACCCCTAATCCGCAGTAGCCGTTGCCGTAGTCGTAGTGGTCAGTACCTCCGTGACCTTTTTTCGCATAGCAGGGTCCCGAGCTTGAAGCCTGATAATCGTAACGCAATACTAAAAGTTAATTAATGGTAGTAGTAGTAGTAGTAGTAGTAGTAGTAGTAGTAGTAGTAGTAGTAGTAGTAGTAGTAGTAGTAGTAGTAGTAGTAGTAGTAGTAGTAGTAGCGATAGCAATTAAGAACCGAAGATCCTGAAGTCAGGACCGACTCTCGAGGCTGATGCCTTCGAAAACCTTTTCGGCTCGAGACTTCTGTGCGCCAAGCTTCGGGAAATCCCAGGGCTCTTTGGCCTTGTAGCCCCAAACTCCGAATCTCCCTAGACCCAGCCTGCTCGCCAGAACCCGACTTTGCTTCCTAGACTCGGTTCCGCACCACCTCACGACCAGCTCTCACTTCTGGGACCTAGGATCTTCAGCCCCGGACCTCCGGATCAACGACTAGCTAGACTTCGACCTTTTACCGTCCGCAACCTTGGAACACCCTGCCACCAGCCACCTTCTCTGCCGTTGCAATGGCGCTGGTGCAGGCTCTCCTCATGCGAAAGATTGCAGAATTGATCTGTTGCGATTTCGGGGTCCCGCAGAACGGCGCGCCTACAGAAGTCCATCACACCAGGACTTGGTACCTAAAACCTATCGCCAGAACTCCGCACCCCGTGTTGGAGCTTTATGGTTTCAGGGCTCTCGCGCGTTGGAGCTTCTGGGGCTTTGGGGCTTCCAGGAGCTGAAGAGCCTGAGCGGTTCAAGGCCTAGAGGGTTTTTTGGGCTTTTGAATTTTCTAACGAATGTAGCCACATGTTATAAGAATAGTTAGCCAGGGGTCAAGTTAGGCAGTACACGCCTACAGGGGAAAGGACTTCCAACCCAAGCTCCTCAGAATCTTCCTCAATTCCGACGCCCCCCTCATCCCGCAGCCACGCGACAACGTTTAAAGGGCGTTGGCCTTATGCCCCCGGGGAAAACACGAGTTCCAAAGCGTGGCGTTTTCCATCAACGCGTTGCCAGACTATCCCGAACAGTGGGATTTCTGGCGTCTCACAGCCCGGACTTTAAGATTTCTGAAACTCCCTCATTGCACCCCGAGTCAGTCAACACTCCCTGGAACTTTGCAGAATTTCTCGAGTCTAGCAACACCGGATGCCCTCGAAACGAAGCCTGCAGGTGCCGAACTTGGAGGAGCACAGAACAGGGACGACTGGTTTGGGCTTCGGGGGTTGGGAGCCTCCGCGACATTTAAGTTACAGTGTTGGGCTTGGGGGTTTTATCTTTCAAGAGTTGGGGTGTAGTTCGGAGTTGAGAAGAACTGCTACCAGTACAGACCAGCAGGAATCCAGCCTGAGACCTGGGCGACTCGATTTTTCGAGCAGGGGTTTGGAGTTGCAAGACAGTTGGATGAGGCCACCGCCCATCTTGCTCAGATAGATTTGCTTAGTGCACTACAGGCTTACGTACCAGTGTTCACAGCCTGGACTATAGGCCAGTTGTATACGCTTCGGAGACTTCGGAATTATGCAACCTGGTTTTCAAAACAGCCCAGACTAAACCCTAATCCTAATTGCTCGAAAGACTCGGAGTGGGGGTCGTTCCGGAAGTGGAAGGTAGAGCAAGCAAGTGCATGTGACTCGGAGCAGCTAGTACCGTATGTTGACATCCTGCTGGAATATGCATAACAGCAATGTTAGTGTTAGTATTATTCATAAATAACAGTAACTGTGATTATACTGATAACAACAGTAGTAGTTGTAGCAGTGCAGCAGCAGCAGCAGGAGGAGGAGGCGGAGGAGGAGGAGGAGTAGCAGGAGCAGCAGCAGGAGGAGGAGGAAGAGGAGTAGTAGTAGTAGTAGCAGTACTACTACCCCCACTACTATCAATCTTAAGAATAGCAATAATTAGAGTAGTGACCGCCGAATGCCCAAGCCTCTGACCCAGAGCGATCCTTGGTGTGCAGGAGTTCTACCAGTTCATTTCAGAGCGACCGGGCGGCGTCTACTTGGAGGAGCTCCAAGTACTGCATTATTCCATGGCGTGAAGGATTGGGGGTTCAGGAGTCTGAGTCTTAGGTTTGTGTTTTTAGGGTGTAGGTCATAACTAGGCCGCCGCACTTGCCTGTTGCCCCTCGCGACTATGCTTGTATATGCTTGTTCTTGCTGCCACTATGGATGCTCTTGTGATTGTTGTTGGTGTAGTGTTGCTGGGGTGATAGCTGCGAGGGTTGCGGTTGCCACTATCGGCATTATTGCATTTCTTATTGCGGTCATTGCCGTGAGTATTATTGCATCGACGGCTGCTGCTGTTATCGCATCCTCGCTTTGGCACCGCAACTGGCCGGCACAGAGGACCTGGCACGAGCTGGTTGGCCTGACAAGACGCAGGCAACACATCTTGCCCCTTGGCCGCTTTGCGGTGCAGGAACTTTGCAGCTCAGGATTCAGCGTGCGAGGTTGCAGGGCGGTTTGCATGCACTGTGGGCGGGTTTAGGAGCTTCGCTTAAGGAGGCATTTCGTGTGGGACACATGCATCCCAGTTGCTCATAGGCTTTGCCGTTCTTGTAGCGACGCTGTTTCTAACGAGCATAGCCGCCTCCAAGTCAGCCGTGATATTCGAGCTTGGCCCTAGTTGCGAGTTCGGGACCCGGGTCCAGGAAATACTTCGGGAACTTCGGGGCATGATGTCCAACTCTTGCGGGGGGACCACTCAGGCCAATGCGCTGCTGACGCAGAGCCGCCTCGACATCATCACGGTGCAGAGAGCGAGAGAGAGACAGAGAGAGAGAGAGAGAGAGAGAGAGAGAACGAACTCCTGAAGCCCACTCCTGAAGCCCTTATGCCCTGCAGAAAGAAAATAGAAAAGCTGTTGAACAGCTCAAGGTCAGGTCGTGTATTTATCCGAAGGGTTTTGCTCCAATGCAAGTGTGAACTTCATGCTGGTGCGGCTACTTGTAGTAGTTCTGCCGATGATCCGTCTTGTGGCCTTGGACAGGTCCTTTTTAGGGCTTTGCAACCGTAAACAGCCGAAAGTAATGACCTGAAGGTTTGCTGCCTGTTCGTTCCCTCAAAACACCCCAGGCGGTCACTCGCTTGTTGTACAGGGCTTGTTGTGATGTGCGTCCGGGCTGGGATGGATCCAGGATATTGTGTAAAGTCCAAGACCTAGGCCGTGAATGTTACAGAGCTGACCATGGTATCGCATTTGTTTCACTACTACGCTGCACGATGTTGGAATGTGTGGCATGCGCTGTCGGATCTCGCAAGTGCAATACCACGGTGAGCCCCCAGCAGGTGGGTGAGAAAATCCTTCTCAAAGCAGTTGCTCCACAACTGGCGCTGAAACTAAGCCGCCTCGAAGCAACCACAAGGTGCCCCGGAGCAACTGGATGCGTCATATATGGGCCTTACATAACAATTACCTATACTATTTGGGGGGGGGTCCTTATTATAATTATGGTATAATATACACCCAAACCATTAAGGCCCTTGTATTACTGACTGTTTAGGGTTGTGTCTTCATGGTAGACCCATCTGCCTGCCTGTGCAGAAGGAAGCTGAAATTTGAGTTGTTAGCGGTACATAAGTCTTGCCCCCTGGATTGATTCTGTGGGCCGACATTTGGCTTTCGCAGCGGGGTTTCTTCGTTGAGGGTTTGCAAATGCTCTGTATCTGAAGAGCCCGGCATTGGTCCAAGCAGTACAACATGATAGCGCAGTATGCTCAAGGAAGATGCTCGATTTCGCGTATGGTTCCTTTCTCGCCACGGTCGGACTTGCAGCTTTGGGTGTAAACTCGCCCTATCCCGTGTTGTTCGATCTGTTTCTCAGCTGTATCGGCGCTGTCCTAGTCTTAGTCTGAGAAGCACGACTGGCGGCTTCGGTATCAACCCAAACTCGTAGGTGGCTTTCTTTCCAGGCCCGCAGGTTTCGGGGGGTCGGGAATGTCGGAATTGAGGGCTGGGTGGATCAACTAGGGTTACCAAGGTTCTAAGGTCTGCATGCCAAGCTGCATCTGACTTGCAGGAGCGTTTACCAGCAGATCCCTAAACTCTAAACCCTTAGCCCTCAGGAGCGTGTACCAGCAGATCGAGAAAGCCGGGGATCGTGGTGCCTGGAGCAAGAGCCTCAAAGATCAGACCAAGCTGCAGCAGCACACGATCACCAAGGCCCGGCCAGACTTTGGGGTCTTGCGGTGTATATCTATACTATGCTATGGCTATAACTATACTGTAGCTATACTATAATATACTATACTATACTATAACATATGTGTAGTTGTTTCTTTTATATGTTTGTGTGTTCTTTCATGTCTTTTGCACGAAGGTGTTTCGGCTTGGAGTCTGCTTCGGGCTTGGGACTTTCGGAAGCTGGACTCTTGTTAAGGCATGTAGTTTAAGTTCCTACCATTTACTACATAGGAAACCCTACCATTTACTATATAGGTAGATCCCTAGTATGGTAGCTTAGATAAAATTTCGTAACAAGAACCCAGGAAGGGCTTCTGAGCTGCCGGGGAATTCGGGTGCTCACGACCTTTGAGCTTGCGCCAGGCAATCAAGGAGTTGCTGAAGCAGCAGCTCATAAAGGAAGTGAAGTCTGCAACTTGATCTGCACAAGCCCAAACTGAGAAGTATACCCTGAGCCCCCATTCCTGACCCAAGGGCTATGCTTGCTGGCTATCAAATCGCGGATCCGATTTCCGGAACCCTTCAACCCTAAACGTGAAACACGAAAGCCCGAAACCCTGACTCCCAAGCCCAACCCTTGAACCTACTCCCTTCCCTCAACCCTAGTGTTGAGCAGGTGGATGCTTGTATGGATGCATGGATGTATTGCTGTGTAGACGTATGTACGGCTGTGTGTCATGTCAGGTCATGTTATGTCATGTCGTGTCCTGTAGTGCAATTTAACCTAACCAACGTAACGTAAGGTAGCGCAATGCAATGCATTGCAACGCAAAATATTGCCATACTCAAGCTGCCATGCAACGCGAGTCCGTGTAATGCAATGCATCGCACGGCACGGCATGGCATAGCATCCGTGTCGTTGGCCAGGCATGCCATGTCCTGATTAACAATGTAGGCCCTCTGTACCTCTGACACCCCAGAAGCTCAACTAAAGGTCGGACAGAGCCTGTGTACAATACAATAAGATCCTCCAGCAGAACCATTCTGAACCGAGGCCGCTGCAATGCCATCAAAATGCACTCAGCAACACAAGTTAAGGATTGTACATATACACCATACGTGCATATTTCTCAGTCTCTGTATCAACAGTCTGCACATGCTACGGCCCGAGAGAAGCACCAGGGATAACAGCAACCCCCTTCGAAACCCATGATAGAGGCGTAGGGAAGCTGAAGGCCTTTGTAGAAACTCTGTTTATCTGATATCGCCGAGGTCCAGAACAGGAACCGAAAGGTCTTCATGCTCATTGACCTAGAGCCTAGCCTGGAGGTCTCCGGAGGCCGGCCTGGGGGGGGCGGGCTTGAAAAGGTTTGAGGGGGGTTTTACACCTGGCGTTGAAGGAATCACAGGGTTTGCAGATGCTTGTTGGGCTTCAGCTAGATTCAGAGCTCAGGGTTGAAATGGGGCTTGAGACGGTTTGGGCGTGGCCTTGTGCAGGGCTTCTTTGGCTTTGCAATTAGTATTCAGAGTTTTCATCCACGACAGCCTCAAGGTTCTGAGCTTTGAGCTCTAAACCCTGACATTTGGGAGTTTCAGAACATACTTACAAGCGACATTTGCTGTAGCACAGGCCCAACACGCCTCAAAGTCACAGCATGCCAGGCCCTAAACCCGAATCCCTAAACCCCAAAACCCTCAACCCTAAACCCTAAGCCCAGGCACCTGGTACAAGGACGGCGAGTTCAACTACAGCTGGGTGGAGACTCTGCGGGAGCAACTCTGCTCCAAGAACTGACACATTTGTGGTTTTATCCCGGGGAGTTTTCTTGAAGGCTTAATAATAGGGTTTAGGGTTTAGGGTTTAGGCTCAATATAGGGGCCCATATAATTACCAATACTATTTGGGGGGGGTTCCTTATTATAGTGTTTGCATATAATCTACTCCCGGGCTCATCATCCGTCGTATTGTGAACGGATTTCGGGCCACTTTAAGGTACTGCCTCACCTTCATGGACAAGAACTTCGGTCGCCCTGCATCACAAGCTGAACTTCATCGCTTTGCCGGCGACTCAGCACTGGAACCTCCAGAGTACCGACTTCGATGCTGCACCTCAGTAGTAGCAGTAGTAGTAGTAGTAGTAGTAGTAGTAGTAGTAGTCGTCGTAGTTGTAGTAGCAGCAGCAGCAGCAGCAGCAGCAGCAGCAGCAGCAGCAGCAGCAGCAGCAGCAGCAGCAGCAGTAGTAGTAGTAGTAGTAGTAGTAGTAGTAGTAGTAGTAGTAGTAGTAGTAGTAGTAGTAGTAGTAGTAGTAGTAGTAGTCGTAGTAGTAGTAGTAGTAGTTGAAACCTTCAAGGGTTTACGGCTTGAGGCCTCTATGGGTTTGGTGGTTCGGGGCTTTGGGTTTAGGTTTCGGTTTCGGACGATTGTGCACCTCGACCAAGGCTTTTGGGTTGCGGGCTTGAAGCCGGGATGTTTACTCGGCCATGAGGCAGGCAAGTGCTTCTCTTTTGCAGGCTGCTGTGCATGCAGCCCTAAACGGGTCACGATCGGCCAGGTCCTCACGATCGGCCAGGTCCTCTCCTGTACGTGGTTATTAGCATTATAACAGTCGTAGTATTACGAACATTCATATGTTGGTGTATTGCTATTAAGTAAGTATGAGTATTATTCGCAATTTTGGTCTCTGTCTCTTTTTTTCGGGATCCCGGCGTTGGCGCTGAAACCCGCGACCAGGTGATGCAGCATCCTGGCCCTCAGGTCCCGACCGAGGCTCGGGCTGTTGGGCTCGGTGACTTTAAGGGCTTAGGGTATTGGGCTTAGGGTTGAGGGTTTCGGTTATTGGGGCTTAGGTTTTATGGTTGAGGGTATTGGGCTTAGGGTTTAGGGTATAGGTTATTGGGCTTAGGGTTGAGGGTTTAGGTTATTGGGCTTAGGGTTTAGGGCACTACTTGACGATGCATGAGTAGTTAGAAGTGGGGTAACTATAATCATGACCCGTATAATGGTTTAAGGGCATAACTACTTCCCGATGTTAGTCCTTACATATAAACGCAGCAGGTTTTTTTTTTATCAGGATGAATCTTGCGGCTGTGTGTGCATGGTTTCAGGTTTTGTTGGAGGTTTGCAGGGTTTTAAATAGCAGGAAGAGTAAGGGGCTATAGACTTTGACACAGTAGAACTACTGGTCCTCTCTTTTAAAGCCTATTGGGTTCTTTCGTTTTACACCCAACAGGCATTATGTTCTGAGGGCCTGTGCCAGGAATTCTCAGGGCATGGACATAAAGAAGCACAACACCGTGTGTCTATGATCTATGCGTTCCCATCTTGTGCGTACATTTTTTATGTCTTTGTATTCCACCCTATACTTTGCGAGGAAAATCGCCATGACAACCATGGTCATCACGGGACACGACCGCGTGCGCAGGAGGACATCCTCTGTATCATGAAGACCCTGGAGCTGGATGAGGTGCGAAGATCCTCGAAGCCGAAGTTTCGGGGCAGGGGGTAGCTTCTGGAAGCCCGAAGTCCCAAATCCGAAGCTCCCCCCAAAAGACCTGGGGGGTCCCGGAACCCCTAAATGCACCCAAATGACCCCTCTCGGCTTCGGAAAGCTGCAGCATGGAAAGAGTCAACATATCTCCAAGGCTGGCTTTGATTGGGGTTTGTCGGGAACGGCTGTTCCGTACAGCCTGGATCTGTGAGCCAAGGACCCAGAAACTCGTATCTAAGCCGCCACTTTATGACTGTCCTGCAGGAGGTTTCCTCCCTCGTCACCTCCGATGGACAGCGGGTCTTTATGCGCCGCCGGAAAGGTGGCCTGGGAGTGCAAGAACCATCTGGAGAGAGTCCAATCCAGGCATCTCTCTTGTTCTCGAGTCTAGAGCTTTCCGATCGATAGATTCCGATAGACGGTACATTGAAGCTGCCGAAAAATGTTCAACTCTTCGGCCTGAACCCTGAACCGCTTGGGGGATGCTTTGCCTCGACTTGCAGTGGTTGAGGAGGCTTATCAACTCAGCTGCCTTAGTTTCAAGCTTTAGGTTTTCCCCAGGCCTGTATGGTATCGGGCGTGGCTGGTTTCTCCTTCGCACCCTCAAGGCTCGGCCATGGGCCAGGAAAGGGGCCACACGGAACCGCGGTCAGGTGGCTTCGACCAGCCCATGGATATCTTCGCTGCCCGCTTGCCAAACTTCTTGCGGCAGGCCAGGAGCGGTGCAGAAGTCCTGCATGTTGTCCAGTCCATGTATACAATCTTCGTGCTATCTTTCTATCGATCTATCGATCTATCCATCCTTGCAACCATCCATCCATCCATCCATCCATCCATCCATCCATCCTTGCAACCATCCATCCATCCATGCATCCATCTATCCATCCGCCCATCCGTCATTATGTGCTCGTATTTGTATACGTATCTATGTTAATGTTAATGTTCATACTCAGAGTTATATTTGGGTTCATAGTTTATATATCATACAGCTGGGCGCACCGACATATCCGTAGAGCATTTTGATAGAGCATTTGTCCATGTACGAAAGAAGTTAGTTTGGTTTGTAGGAAAGACCGCAGTTTGGTTGAAGTTTGTAGGCTTCCGAGCTTCTGAAGGGTTTAGAGTCGAGAGAGCCTGAAGGTTTGGTAGGGCGTGGTCCCATAGGGACGACTCTACTTGGAGGTTCAAGGGTAGCTAGAAGTAGAGTTACTTGTAGTATATGTATAACTGTATAACTATACAGTTATGACCCATATTCGGGGAGGAGTTGGTTTTTTATTTTATTAGGTTTGGTCTCAGTGTTCCTTCTTCGGTTTTTGAGGTTTCGCGGGTTTGCGGAGTTCGGCTTCGTGCTCAGATGCCATGGGCCGGAACCCTACCCTAAACCCTAAACTGTAAACCCTAAACCCTAAACTGTAAACCCTTTCTGCAGAAAAAGGCCCCATTGCACTTTAATAAAAAAAACTGTAAACCCTAAACCCTAACGCCTTGAAAAGGGCCCTCAAAAAAACCCTAAAACACTAAACCCTAAACCCCAACGCCCTAAACGCAAAAACCCAACGCAGGCGGAAGGAGAGGGCCGCCTGGTGGTGCCTTGTCTCTGCTGCCCCCTTCGCAACGAGTGCAAGGCGATGCGGCAGGTCTTAAGCTCCCACTCTAGGGATCTATAGGGTTCTATAATAGGGTTCCTTGAAGGGATCATTATTATAACTATACTATAAAGAACCCATAACCCTTTAAGTTCCCACTGTCTAGGGATCTACTGAAAGGATCATGGGACTTAGTATGTATGGTTATAAGTACCTGAATTGGGGCTATAAGTAGTCAAAAGTATGGTTACCCTGTCTAGGGATCTAATACAGAAGCCCAAGCAATTACCCATATTATTGTTAGAGGCCCTTATTATAACTATACTATAAAGAACCCGAAGCCCTATTCTAGTTATTCAGGCCCCTGTATTAGGGATCTTCCTAGAGTCCTTTATGTTCGGAGATTCCCGTGTACTGGGCAAGAAGTTCAAAGTGGGTCTTGAGAAGGGCACCGACACGCTAGACGCTTCGGGACCGGTCAATCCGTGGCAAAGCTCAACGTCGTTTCGGAAACTTGCCCTCTACCCTACATTCCCAAAACTCTAAACGTTAAACCCCGTATTCCTAAACCCTAAACTCGGGGTTCCTTAAGCCTCAATGAAGTTTCGGTTTCAAGCCCGTGGAGATCAGGGAGGGCTGCGTGCAGAGGTTTCCAGACCCAGGAGCTTCCAGAGTCTTAGTCTCAGTATTTGTAGGTGAACCAGTGTTACTATAACTATACTACACGTATTTTTGTTATCATTATAGTAGTATGAGTAGTATAAATAAATAGTATTGTATGCGTACCCAGAAGCTCTAGACTCTAAACCCCAACGCCAACCCAGTACCCAGACTCGCTCTTCGCACCTGGAGAGAGCGAGAGGGTGCCCAGAGATGCAAACTTTCCATCTGAAGCTCTTGCTTCTAAGCAAAATCCCGAACTCTTAAATCAGAATCATGTTATACTGAGCTACAAAATCATGATATTATAGTGTACTGTATGCTGTAGCTTATGTTATACTACACTATACTCGACTTTATTCTATTATATTTTGTGAAGTATATTAAATCGCCAAACCCCAAAACACGGATACCTCAAACTCAAGCCCTGATCCCCCGCTCAAAGCCAACTCCCGGGTCCCAACGAGCCGGCAGGCAGGGGGCCGCGTCTGCCCGGAGAAGTGTGAGTTCCTGACCAGGTCCGGACTCCTGGGCGGGAGTCTTTGCTTCAGGAGGCTGTACTCTACGGGCCTTTAAAGGGGTCCTATAAGGGTTACTAGAAGGGATCTACAAGGGTACTATAATATATTGGCCTTAATAATTACCAATACTATTTTTTGGGGGTTCCTTTTTTCCTTATCTTTTTATCCGGGCTCCTATACTACATGGGCTGTGTGAAAGCTTTGTACGGCTTTGGTAGCGGGTTTTACAAGGGATTGGGGGCTTGGGATTTTTCCAGCTGTCAGGAGGCTTGGTCTTTTGGCGGTTTCGGCGGGGGGGTGCGGAGTCGGGCTTCGGGTTCAACGATCGTACGATTTTGTCCTTGCAGCGGTAGTTGGCCGGTGGCAACAGGAGTAGCAATGTGGAGGCCCGTAATGAACAAGGACAGAGCACTTGCTATTCAGCACACGCATGCTTTTGCTGTTGCTGCTTTTGCTGCTGCCGCTTGTACATGCGACGACGATAGAAGCGACGAACGCGACCACGAGGTGGAGGAGCAGGAGGCGGATCAGAAGACAGAGGAGGAGGAGGAGGAGGAGGAGGAGGAGGAGGAGGAGGAGGAGGAGGAGGTGCATTACCAGCACCTGACAATAACGAAACGACGACGACGGCTACTCTAACTGGTGCCTCAGCCTCCTCCGCCTCCTCTGAATACTCCTACTAAGTCCTACTACTTCCATTACCACGAGTCCACTACCACTGACTCTGCCAGGACCAGTACTGAACCACTACCGCTACCACATACTACCACTACAATAAACCACTACGGACGCGACTACTACTTCTGATTCTACTTCTACTTCTGCTTCTACTTTTATACTTCGACTTCCACTTCCATTTCTACTTCTACATCTACTGCCACGGCGACGACGACTACTACTACATTGTGCTGGGAAACGAAGCGCGCTGTTTGGGAGCAAAGTTTTGCAAATCTTGCCAATCTTGAGGGGGTCGCCAATGAGCCAAGAGTTTGCTAATCTTGTTTTCTTGCTTGCCCGTCTGGGGGGCGCAAGATTGCATCCAATTTTGCTCAACTTGCAATCTTGTTGATCTTGCTAATGAACTCATGCAATCTTGGACCACTTGCACCACGCCCCTGCCCCTTCCCCTGCCCCCATCGTTAGCGCTACCGTGCGACCACCACCGAGGCCAGCGCACCAGCACCAACTCAACGCCTAAAGCTGAAGTTGCCACTACCACTACGACGACGACGAGTAAATATGTACTGAGTACTACGACGACGACTACGACTAACACTCCTCGTGCTGCTATTGGTACTGCGTCCACTACCAGTGCTGGCTGCGACTGCGCTGACGACACCAAACAAAGATGAAGGCGATCCGGGCAAAGCTCAAACGCCGACTGCCCTCTTGAAAGCCATGAGTATAATAGTATCATGCGCCCCAAAACCCAATTCTAACCAGTAAGGCCCCTACACTACCCTCCTGAAAGCCATGACAATGAGCTGTGGACCCATGAAAGGTGGCTGCAGCCTCCCGAGGACCCTGCTGGCCACGAGGACCGGTCATCGGAAGGATCATTTTCGGGCTCGGGGCATCTATGAAGAACAGCTCTTAGGTGTGGGACGTTCTGCCCTGAACCGGCTGAACTTTCGGAAGTTGACCTGCGCAGGACGTCCTCATGGACTGGTGATGCTGCCGAGCAAAACAGTGCAATCGGAGTGCTCTTAGGGTTGGAGGTTCGCTGTTGAGAGAGGCCTCAGAAATCATATAAGCAGGCTCACCACAGATCAGCCCGTCGGCATACGCGTTGATTTTGCAGAGAGTCGTGAAGGTCCCAAGCGTAACCCACTCTCCTTGCAGTTGCGATTCGCTGTGCAGCGGCTTCAGGCGAACACTAATTCAGTCACGAGTCGTAGGTTACATTGTCTTCTGCAGCTGTGCATCTTAGGCATTCGATTCCAGTTGCTTTGCTCCTGCTCTAGGCGGCACATGGGCCACGCTACCCAACATGGCCACTGCTGCCAAGCCTGCTGCGAAGGTCCCCGTAGCCCTCGAGAGCCCGGTCGGCTCTGTGCTGCTTCGCTTCGACCAGCACCAGGATGGAAGTCTGCAGCCCGTTTGGGAGGATCCAGAGGCCACCCCGAGCCGCTGCGTCGAGCGACTGCTTCTGGAAGAGTCGGCTGCGAAACGGCGCCGGCACGAGGGCGCGGGCCCGGTTGAGAGCGAGCGAGAGCGGATCGAGTTTCTGCGGGAGGCACAGGAGACGGCCTTGGACGGGGTGCAACGCGCAACCACGGCAGCGCAGCTGCTGAGCGTCGGTGCCGAGGGCGAGACTCAGTTCCTGGCTCTCCAGTCGGCGGTGCCCAGGCCCCTGGACTTCTCGCAGATCATGCGGCATGCCTCGGAGGTGGACGAGGCAGCTGAAGCTCATCGCAAAGAGCTCCTGGATATCGCCACTGCTCGATTCACCAACAAAACGCTCCAGCAGTTTAAGGAGATGGAGGCTGCGCTGTCTTATCTCGGCCAGCGATGGCATCTTCACTGTGTCGCAGGTCAATATGCCATCGAGCTGTGGCTTGGTCGGATTGTCTGCAATTAGTGTTGTGCTTTGGGATTATGGCTATCACGATTTCGGGGCGGACGCGCGCGTAACGGTGGCGTGGGCTGAGCACGATTTCGCATTTGCCGAGTGGCGAATACGGTGGCCTTGCTCGGATTTGGCATAGCCGTCTACGGAGGACACGGCCACAGCGGGACTGTGGATTGTCGTCCAAAACGCGAACCGCCGGGTGTGTATCCACGGGCTCCTCGCGCAACTTCTGTATTTGTATCGTGAGAACACCGTTTTTGGCAAACTACTCAAAAACCAAACTCGTCCTACCGAAATCTTCAACAAAGCTCTGAAGCCCTAAACCTGTAACCTCAAGCCCCAAACTCGAACCAAACTCCAAAAAGGCGGTTCGGGCCAGAAGCCTTAAACCCTAAACCAAAAAGGTGGACAGGAAGGATGAGGCCGCCGAAGCGACTGTTGGCGACGCGGCCGCGGGTTCGCGTCGCCAGCCACCCGAAGAAGGGCGCCGCTTGGCCACGGGTATCAGAGGGTGATGATGTTGTAAGATTCGAGGGGTACTATAAGAGATACTATAACTACTATAAGGCGATACGGGTACGTGTACCATCAGGGGTGCAATAATATCGGGTACCAGGAGGCGTACGATGAGGGATACTAACATTATAGGAGTAGTGTAAGGGGTAGCGTGAGGGGGACTTGCACAGATATTATCGCTAGAAATCCCAAATCCCAGAGCCCTAAACTCCAAATTCTCAAAGCCTCAAACCCCTCAAGCCCACAAGTTCAAGCCAGGTTTGCCTGAACTTCCCGGTGGATCTCTCACAGCGCATTGGCTTGCAGACAGGGCAGGGGGTTTCAAGCATCGTCGAGTGTTTCGAGCTTGTAATACTACGCCACGCCTCATGGTACCCTTTACAGCCTTGCAGTACACTTTACTGTAGTCACTTATGGTACCCCCTCCAACAACCCCCTTGTTGTAGTATCCCTTGAGCCTGAGCTCGGTTCTTTGTCTTTTTTGGGCTTCGAGCCCGGGCTTCAAGCCAATGTTTTTTGCTACCCGTCCCCACACTTACAAGACCAGACCCGCAACCCCAAAATATCTCGAAACCCTATAAGGCCAAAACTCCCGGTACTATACTTCCCGCACCCCTAAACTTCCCGAAACCCTAAACCCTAAACTCTAAACCCTAAACTTCCCCAGCACCACGGAGAAGGCTAATTCACACCCGCATGCGGCTGCTGGTCCTGCTGCGGGGCCAGGGCCGCAAAGGCAGGAGCCAGGCGATCTCCGCGCGGGTTTAGGACTTAGGGTTTAGGCTGCAATCACTCAGGTTTGAAATCACTCCGAACGAAACCTGTAACCCCCCAAGGTTCTGAACCCTTAGGGCCCGGAGGATGAGAGCAAGCGTCGACGGACGGCTGATCATCAGGACGGTAGGTACAAGCATATCATATATGTTTTGGTATATTTACAGTTTAGTATAGTATACTGTGCTGCAGTATGCTATGTCAGTAGCTTCTGTCATATTATGATGTTTTTTATATTACGTATTATATGAGCCACAATCTCAGTGCAGCCCCTACGCCCTCAACCCTCAACCTCTCAAGTTCTTGAGCCCTAGGTCCTGAGAATACTCCTTCCCCTCTTTTTGTCGATGTTTCTGCGCAGGCACTGCTTCCACCACCTTGGGATCCCAGCATGCCGCGTCCGGAAGGACTTCACAAAGCGCCACTGGGCGATGTTCGTTATTCTACTATCCAATTGGGTTGCCGTCAGTTCCGTCAGTAATGGAAATGAGTGGAGGTAGTTGTCAAAGTAGCAGTATGAGCATCAACATGAGCATGGGTATGTGTATTAGGGATTAAGTAGTATGTATTATGCGTGCATGTCTGTATGCACATGTGCAACTATGCCTAGTAGCAACAGTGTTCGTGTTGGCCTTCGCGTTCAAGCTTGATTTAGTATCAGTAAAGTTTGAATGTAGTATCAGTTCTGGTATCAGTACTCGTATACTTTTGTTATTAATTACTCGTATATTCCTATAATTACTCTGTTTCTTGTCTATGCGCAAATATGCGCATAATCTTAGATCAGTATATTTGTATGCTAGAAGTGAGTATATGAAGATTATCGTATAGTTGTACAATATCAGTACAGCAGCAAAACAAGCGAACCAGCAAATGTTCGTTTGATCGTAACTTCGCAGTTTCGTCTCTTAGTATGGAAACATGTCGGTATGACTGCATGTATTCTACTCATATTCGAAATTGTATATCAGTACCCGTAGATTAGTGTTCCTATATTGGGATCAGAATCATTCGTCACCACCACCGCCACCCCACCACCGCCACCACCACCACCACGACCGCTGCTGTTGCCGCTGCCCCTGTCTGCCACTGGCGCTGGCATTGGCAATAGCACAACCACTACGCTTGCTGCTGCCGCCGCCCCCTTCTACTTCAAGCGACCCCCAGAACAAAATGATGCAAACCATAATCATGATGGTCAGACTTGCTGAAGAAGAGGTCATGGAAAATTAACTCAAACATCGACATGAAGATCCATGTCGGAAACATTCTAAGACAAAAGCTGTGAGAAGAGTAAGACTGTTGTCCAAGTGGTTAATGTTGAGAAAGTTGGTCCGCCCTGTCCGTCCAGCGACGGAGAGAGAAGAAAGGGTTGGGGCGGCTGGCGGCGGTTTCAGCCTTTTAGCATGGCAAGGTGGAGGTTTCACAGGTCGTTAGCTAGTGGGGAATATTAGAATCAACATTTTGCAACTTGTTTAAAGACCGTCAGCTATTCTCTGTGGACCTACAGCTTTTGATTCATGGAATAGACACAGCTGCTCAGGCTTCTGCAAGCGGAGATGCTGTTGGCGGATGCCCTAACCTTCCACATGCTGCGAGACCGCGTTATGATCGCCTCGCAGGCGCCATGTCGGGACATTGCATCGATTTGTTGCCGCTTTGGTAGGCTTCTAGGCTGCTGGAGTCTGGAGGGGGAGGGGAGAAGGCTGGGTCCATTGAGCTTGGAGTTTTGTCCATTGTCCAGGCTTAGGTTTCTTGGTTTGGGTAGAGTCTTGCTAAGCGGCGGTCTTCGGCCTTAGCTTCCTTGACCTTGTGTTTGTGGAATTTGGCTTTGTGGTGCCGGGGTGGTTGTTGTTCTTGTTGTTCCTGCTGCCCCGAAGCCCCCATCCGCGCCCCAGGAGGAGCTTCGTCGGGAGGGCTGGCAAATCAGCCGGGTGGCCTCCCACGAGGTTGTCTTGGCGGCGGCCTGGGCCGAAAGATCCAAGGATAGGTGTTTCAGACTTGCTTCTGACATGGCTGGTGGTTACAAGGTTGGTTTGCGAATGTTATTACTCTATCAAGCGCCACCAGGCACTTCACAGTGCTGTTCGTTGTTCTCCCGGTGATGTACTTTCGGGTGTTCTTGTATGCTGTATTCAGCGTGTCTCGTGCGTTTTTTGTTATATAATCTATCGTACAAAAGGCTGCAAACCCGACGCTTCAATCTTTCCAAGGCTTTGAAACCCTCAAACAGGCTTGGTTTCCGCAACGCGGGGCTTCCATAGCCTGGTCTGAGCCTCCGTGTAGTGTGCTGGGAATCTAGTGAATACGCCGTACCTACCCCCTTTCAAAAACCAGGATGCTACCGCCATCAGCAGCAGTACCATTTTACCGAAGCATCATCACCACCACTCGCGGCAGCGGCACGCCCCATCATCACCCTCATCGTCTCATCACCAGCACCATTGCATTCACGAGGTCCATCAGAATGACCACATGTCACCATCCTTCTCGTCACCGCCGCCATCAGCAATCAGCAGCGTCATCGCGAGTGTCGGCACCACGCTCTTCAGCATCATTATTGCCGCTATCATCATCACCACCGCCACCACTATGGTAATCATCATCGTCGTCATGAACATCATCATCGCTTCATCACTATCAGTACATGATCAGTACATGCTCCGTGAGGTGGAAAGCCTGGACTTCCGACGCCTAGAGCTGACGGTCGCCCTTCGTGCGCCTGGCGCGGAGGAGGCGCCTTCTCCTAACCCCCGAAGCTCGGGTCATTGGGGGTAGGTGGGTGGTGGTTGTAGGGGTTTAGGGTTTTAGGGTTTAGGGCCAGTTTAGGGGTTTAGGGTCAGCATCGTGGCAGATAGGGTGGTCCAGTGGTCACGGTCAGGACAGCGTCGCGAGTATTGACCAAAGACACAATGAAACTTCATGTGCGAATCGCTGCATCCTTTTCGGGGTCCTCGGTCTATCATTCGGGCGGATGGCTTTCAGCGTTTCGGTCCTTGGATCTCGTTTGTGCGCGGAAAGGTTTCTTCCTGCCTTGTGGAACCTTTCAGAGGTTCCGCCACCTTCTGAGCAAAGTGATCCTGTCTTTGACTGGCTGGCTGACGCTGCAGCGGCGCAGCTGCGAGAGATGTGACCCAGGGGCTCAGTATCAAATCTTGAGAGCCAGCATAGCTGCACGATGGTCAAAATAATGGATGAAAGCCAACAAAACGTGGTGATGACACCATCACCAAAACCCACACCCTGCCACCAGCACCACCTCCGGCATGGCGACGACTGGCAGCATGCACACGCGCATGAGAATCAGAGCCATGTTCGCCCGCTCGGTCCAGACTGTTGTAACATCCAAAGAACTGGAAGAAGCTTTGTATTTGCTTTATTGTCCTATCTCTTGTGCTTATATTGACTCTTTCGCCGTGTTCCGGCTTCACAACCGGTGTTGGTCAACGGACAGGCACAACTGCCGGCTGTATCTCAGCAAACGACAGCAACATGATCATCTACTAGTAGTTCAAGTACCTCTAGAAACCACCGCCGCCGCTACTGCTACCGCTGCCACTACGACGACGCCTACTAGTCAACCTGCAAGTGCGGGCTGCTGCTGCTGCAGCTGCTGCTGCTAGTGGTACTTCTGCTGCTACTGCTGACGACTACCCGCACCAGAGAAACTCAGAGCCTGCCAGGTACTTGCTGCCCCAGAAGTCCAAAGAGGCTTCCGAGACCAGCTCTCAGGCTCCAGCTTCTCGGCCAGCCCTTTTGCAACGCGACAGTGGGGGGGGGGGGGGGGGAGGGGAGTAGTGCCAGACTTCCACCAGTACTCTGACTTCCACCCATCCATCCATCCCTCCCATCCCTCCCTCCCTCCCTCCCTCCCTCCATCCCCATCCCCATCCCCATCCCCATCCCCATCCCCATCCCCATCCCCATCCCCATCCCCACCTCCACCTCCAGCTCCAGCTCCAGCTCCATCTCCATCTCCATCTCCATCTCCATCCCCATCCATCCCCATCCATCCCCATCCATCTCCATCCATCTCCATCCATCTCCATCCATCTCCATCCATCTCCATCCATCTCCATCCATCTCCATCCATCTCCATCCATTTCCATCCATCTCCATCCATCTCCATCCATCTCCATCCATCCCTCCCTCCCTCCCTCCCTCCCTCCATCCATCCATCCATCCATCCATCCATCCATCCATCCATCCATCTCCATCCATCTCCATCCATCTCCATCCATCCATATAGATTCATACATACAAGTACATGCATATGTGTATTTGTATGGATATCATACGCATCTTCAGGTACAGTACAAACAGAACCTCCAGCAACAAGAGTCAGTCTAGCTCTGCAGTCATGCCAAGCTTTATGTTCACATGTCCATGTCTCTGTTGGGAATGAATGGGTATGATCACGGCTGATGACCCTTCCCGACCCCATGCTCATGATCCGATGCGTATGGATGTCATCATGCTACCGCTACCTGTCGAACACCAGGAAGTCCAGAGTTAAGCCTGGATCAAAGTTAGCAAATCCTCAAGGGATTCTGAACCCTAAAACCTAGACTCCCCCAAAAAATCCCCCAGCCCTACTAAGCCCTAGTTGTAGCCTGAAAAGTCTCCAGAACCCCCCTCGCCGAAGGTTGAGACTGAGATGGATCTGTTCGAGGCCTTCGAGGCCCGAGAGCTCAAGGATTACCCTAAACTCTAAACCCTAAAACCTAGACCCTAAACCTTAAAGCACGGGGTGAGGCTCCGACTTGCAGCTGGTGTGAATTTTGCCTCTTAAGAGTTTGAGGTATGTTTGTGTGGAGTTGGGGGCTTTCCGAAAATAGGGGACCCTAATATAGTACCCTAGATATTAGGATCATTTTCGGAAACTTCCATGGTGGAGTAGGCGTGTGAATCTGGCCTTGGCGCTCAGGGTTTGAGGCTGTGAGGCTTGACAGCTGCAGGCGCGCATGCTCTCGGGGTGATAATGGTGCTCCCGCCGCGGTGTGGTGCACATGTTTATGGGGTACTCCCGGAGTGGTTGAAACGGTTCTCGGGTATGTAGGGTTTGCACTGTCACTTATGTGTGATCAAACTTTGCACTATCAAGAGCGATCCTTTTTTACCAAGTAGTGCTTGAGCAATGCAAGGGTTCTCATGACCGAACCCCGAAACCGCGGCGACCCCGAGGTTCCCTTAGAAGGGCCCCACAACGTACTCGTACCTTTCGACACGGGTCATATACTTCGACGAACTATTCTTCGGTGCCGGGGTTTCCCAAAACAACAGTGTTTCGGGGGTGGGTCTAGTCAAAGCCCAGGGCCCACAAGCCTAGGAGTTGGGCAAAAGAGGCTGGGCGTTCCCAAATATGAGGTTTTAGGGTTAGTATCAATTCAGGATCCTGACTAAACCTCGAAACCCTCAAACATACCCCCAGCCCTAACGGCCCTAACGCAAAGTCCGAACCAGGTTTGGCTTCAGCCTCGCGTGGAGGTTCTGTCGCGGTACCTGGGCGATTCAGTCCAAAAGGAAACGCAGGATGTGTGCTTTGGAGCTGACAGGTGTCTGATTGAAGCCGGGGGTTTGGCGTTGGAAGCTTGTAAAACATGGAAAACTGTTGTTAGATTACGACATTGCCGCGAAGATCGCTTGATCAGGGAGACATTATGTGACTTGACATTCTGCGAAATGTTGTGGTGCGAGTTGTCTCTGTAGCGATGACGTCACGGCTAAAGTGATTATGCTGATTAACGAATTAATAGTTGTAGTGACGCTGCTGGTGCTGGTCTTGGTTCTCTGGTACTGGTGCCAATGTTGGAAGTAGTGGGAGGAAATGCTGCTGCCGACGAAAAGATGATGCAGAAAGATGCTCAACATAACGACACAAATGATTACCCTGACAAGTCGGAGCTACAATGATATGGGTGCATCATAGCAAGCCAAGAGCAAGAACCACTTCATCGTGGTCGTAGATAGCGTCTCTCCACCGCGTCCAGGCTCGAGGACGAGGACGGTGTTAGTAGGACTACCAAGTTATCCGAATCTCCAACATATTGTTCAGACAATGTACGCAAGCCCATGCACGAACAATGCAGCCAGAAACACGCGCATTAGCTGCAGTGACAGCGCATCATGGAAATTACGCTGCTAATTTCTTGTAGGAGCTGTTCTCATGTCGTAGTGCAAATACCAGCAGCGAGCATCAGCCTTAGAAGCCAGATCCAAAGTCCGCGTAAAGTCAGCCCAGTTAGTAGAATACGATAGCACAGTGTGTCAGAGAATGCACTCTTAAGGAAAGTTGCGGCGAAAGGTTGCACGTGGTAACGTACGGGAAACGTACGGGTGCACCCATCCCTGCACCCTGAACTCACACAAAGCTTTGGTCCGGAAGCCATTGGCTCACTCCTCGGTCTTGGACTTGCATTTGAAACGCTGCATGTCCACGCGTACTGACACGAAGAATCGAGGCCTGACGCTCCGAATGCAGGTCGCAAGCTTAAGACTACTGATAGTGATAGTGGCACGTGACACCCTGACCCGACAACCCGCATATCACGTCCCAATCGCCTACGCTTGCTCAGAAATCATGAAGCTCGACACAGCCCCAACACTGTGAGCGCGAAACAGAAGGTAATCCCTGTCTGTGACAAGAGCCTTAGACAATCCCAAGATCCGCCCAGGAACCAGCACCAAACCTTTGTCAGCCAAGCCCTAAAGCCCAGACCGGCGGGAGCCCGAAGGGGCCTTTCCAAACCCATTCACTCGTTTGCTTGCTTCCCTTTGCAGCCTGCGGACCAGCCATGGATGAAATCCGCGCGCTGCAGCAGCAGCTCATGGAGGCTCGTATCAAAGTCCAGCATGGGTTTTCTATTTCGACATGGCTTCAGGTCGGGTCGAGGGCTGCGGTGGTCTGGAAAGCTGTCCTGAGAGTCGAGATCCCTAGAACCTGGACCATTCCCGAAACCCTAAGCTGAGACTGTTTCAAGGCAAGATGTTAGGGTACACCGAGCGTCTGGCGCTGAGATTCTCGGATGAGGATTCTCGTACTGGATGGAGTTCTCACGCAGGCCCAACAGGCCTCCAACATGCGCAAGATCTCCGAGCGCAACTGTTGCTGGGACGAAGCACAACATTCTTTTTGCAAATGTGAAGCGGTTTCAGGAAATCGGAGCAAAGGGGACGCTAGTAGCACAAACAGCTCGAAGAATATCGACAAGGAACTTGCTTCGCAAGCGGTTCTTCACGGCTTTGGGTGGAAAAATTTGGAAATATTAGGCCCAGATGCTAGAGGCATCAAGCTCTTAAAGCAACCCCACAAGACCTACAGACCTCAGAAAATGTTGTAAATACCTCGCTACCTCAACCCCAAACCCTTGTAACACCGGATGAAATCATAGGAGGTCACAACGAAATTTCCGCGGCAAAGGCATCGACTTGGTTCAGAAGCTCATCGCCACGGAGCAGGCAGTTTCCAACTGACTCTAGGGCTGGGTACTATAGGGGCCTAAATAATTACCTATACTATTTTGGGGGTTTTCTAGGATAAGTATAGTATAATGGACCCCAAAACTCCATTCTAATTATTAAGGCCCCTACGTCATGATAGCGGTTGTCAGGTGAAGCTCTTCCACACGGCGAATGGAAAGGCGCAGCGAACCCTGGGAGTCGAAACTTGCGCCTGAACTCACGACATTCCCCAACCTGACCTGGTCCGTTTGATGCTGATCTGAACCCTGAAAACCCGTAAACCCTAGACCCTAAAACCCTAACCTGCCCAAACCTAAACCTGAAGCCTTAACCCTAAACCTGAACCTGGACCTGAACCCTAAACCCTGAAGCTTAAACCTAAACCCTAGACCCTAAACCAAGAAGAAAGCAAGTAGTTCGTCAAGAAAGGAGTAGGTTGAAGGATTGTTGAGGTGCCAACTAGTGAACGCTCATTGAGTGAGTCTTTCTGCGGAGAAAGGGAGGCTATTGCACTTTGACAAACAACCCTAAACCTAAACCCTAAACCCTAAATCCTAAACCTAAACCCTAAACCCTAAACCCTAAACCCAAACCTAAACCCTAAAAACCCTAAACCCAAACCTAAACCCTAAAGCCTGGAGAATAAGCGGAATGCTTGGAGGAGTATTTGACTCCGGAGCAGCTGGACCATGCCCTTCGGCTTGCAGACGGTGGCTAGTGAAAACCTTGGGCCTTTATGGGGAAAAGACAAGTAGAAGATTGGAGGGTTGAGATTCTTGTTGCTGAAGGTCTGAGGGCTTCTCATCTCTGTCTTGGGGCTCGTTACTCCCCTCCGAGGAGATCCGGGAAACCATGGAGGTGCGCCTCTGCATCTTCCTCCTGCGGTGTGGCAGTACTGCGGTCTACTGAAATCAGATAGGCTAGGCTGTGGCAGTGTGAGGAGGACGGATTGGCACTGTTCGTGTAATCATCCGCATCATTGTCATGAGTCACTATCACTCTCTTGATTTCATCCCCTCCGCCCTCCTCCTGTTCCTCCTCCTCCTCCTCCTCCTCATCCTCGTAGTCCGTCACCAACATCACACTGTCTTGATGTTCATCAACATCTCCTTCATCCGGCGAGACATATGACTTCAGACACCCAGTAGGATGTCAACCCGGTCACAGCACGGAGCTTCGAACAAGAAGACCTCTTCCCCTAAACCCTAAAACCCTAAACCCTAACTCCTAAAACCCGAAACCCAAAAACCCTCTCAACCAACCCATCAGTGCTTAGACCCCGCTTGGCAGAACTGCGGCGGCCGGCTCTCAATCACCGATCTGCCCAACGAGGTGCCTAGGGACCTTCAGGGCCCTTACGGCGCGAGCTCCGCAGGTATTCTCCTCCAGGTCTTAGAACCCCGGAACCCCAACATGACAGCTTTTCACCCAAAAATCTCACAGTTCAGTGGGGTCATGCCGCTTGTGATGGATTGCAGCACGAACCATCTCTTCAGAGCGGGAGTGCGGCGTTCACATTGAGACTGTCGATTTTTTTTGGCAAGCCCTGAACACTTGAAACTTCAAGATCTCAGCCTTAAATCGGTTAGTTTTGTCTGTCATCTTTGTCAACTCATAGAAATCCTCCTTTGGAAGCTGCTGAAAGCCTCCCTTTTCATCCCACAGAATTTGTAACTGCAGATTAACCAGCTCCCTGAGTATTACACTGTCGCCCTTTTTTATTGTGGGGCCTGCTTATTCAAACCGAATAGTAGGAAAAAGGAAACCCGAAACCCGTATAATAAAGAGGTTACTCAGCCTAAACCCTAAACCCCTAACCCTTAAGACCCTAAACCCTAAACCCCTCACCCTTAAGACCCTAAACAACCTTAACTTCCTATAACCCTTAAAGCCCTACTCTAAATTCCTAACCCTCAAAGCCCTGAACCTCAAACCCTACTAGGGGCCCTTGCAATAAAAAATAAAAGGTTTTTTTGGGACGACCCCTGAGGTCGGCGTTGCGCTGGAGCACTGCGAGGTGCGCGTCGAGGCTCGGGCCCGAAACTCTGGGGATAAGGGTTTAGGTTTAGGGTTTAGGGTTTAGGGTTTAGGGTTTAGGGGTTTAGGGTTTATAGGGGTTTAGGGTTCAGGGTTTATAGGGGTTGAGGTCTGGGGATCGGAGTTTGAGGTTTAGGGAGGGGATCAATATGGTTTTTAGGGGTTGAATTCCCAAACCTCAAGGCCCCCCCCCCCAAAGCCTCCAAAAGCACCAAACCTGAAACTTTCAAGAGCGAGAAGTGTTCCTTTGAGGGACTGCAGAGCCTCTGAGCGCACGGCCCATGCTCGAGGGTTGGAGTTTTGGGGTGTTTGGGCGGGTTTCAGGGTTTCGGATTTTGGCGTTGGTGTAAGGGTTTGGGCCTTGATGTAGGGGTTTGCGTTTTACTACGCCTTCTGGTTGAGGGTTTCGGGCCCCCATCGCCGGCAGATGCTGCGAAAGCACAGCTCCCTGCACAAGATACACAACGACTTGCCGCCTGTCTTCTCAAGTCAAAAGACTGTCGGAAGCTGATGGAGAACCCTGGTTCTTATGTGGGTTCTTAATAGGGGGTTCTGGGTTGGTAACCAGGAGCTTCTTAATCAGGCTCCTAGATATATAACCGGATGCGGGGTGGAGCTTTGAAGATTGTGACGAAAGGCTCCTTGATGCTGTTCTGGTAAAAACGATGGGGACCTTAATAGTTAGACAAGAGTGTGGGGGTATATTATACTGATTTCGGCCCCTTTATTGCCAATTTTCCTGCATACGTCGACACGGACATTGGGCAAGGTAGTGGAGTGCCTTAGGCCTCCAGACTTCAGTTGAGCATGCCTTTTAAACCTGAAGCCCTGCGCCAGAAAACCCAGGACATATACTGACATGTACTCAAACCTCTCAAGCCGAAGCCCGAAATCCTTAAGCCCCAAATGCTTGACCGCCGACCTAGACCCAAACCCCGAGCCCCTCATCTGTACCCAGGTTCTCCCAGCAGTACCTGCTGTCCATTGCGCAGGAGTTCCTTGGTCGATCACTTAAAGCAGACCATTTGGTTCAGGGCCTCTTGAGGGTTGAGGGCTTAGGGATCTGGGTCTGAGACTTAGGGATTCAGGGTTCAGGTGTTAGGGTTTAGACCCGACTTTCCCCTGCAAACCCCACACCCGAAACACGTAACCTCCAAACCTGAACATGAAAATCCCTAACCGGCACTGCACCAGCAGTCGAAGAGAAGCCCTTGACCCCACTCTCCTACCATTGTTCCTTTCTGTCATGCCCGTATGCCTGCAGTACTACAGTTTGGACGAATAGACCAGTGCACCACCAGAACAGTATTCGGAAAAGTCTGGTGAATATCCATGACTCCTCAGCTTGCCCAATCAGTAGCTAAGCATCTCATAACGCCTTTAACACCCCTGAAACCCAACCCGCCAGCTAAACCTCTACTCCAACCCTAATGCCTCAAACCTCCAACTCTGCACCTTACCCAACCTTAACCCTCGAGCCTCAAAGCTACCAAGGCTAAGCCACTAAGCAAAGCTAAATCCCCAAGAAGCATAAAGCTTGAATCTCAGAAACCCAAAGCCCTACAGCCCCAATTCCATTGACCGTAACTACGCTAAACCCCCAAAGCCCTAAACGATGGACCCCCGGAAGCCCTTAACCCTAAACCCCACATCCCCAATCCAAAGCTCCTAGGCCCAAAGCCCCAAAGCTGCCCCAAACCAGCAGCAGCAGCAGTAGTAGCAGTAGCAGTAGCAGTAGTAGCAGTAGCAGTAGCAGTAGTAGCAGTAGCAGTAGTCGTAGTCGTAGTCGTAGTCGTAGTCGTAGTAGTAGTAGTAGTAGCAGCAGTAGTAGTAGTGGCAGTAATAGCAGTAGTAGCAGTAGCAGTAGCAGTAGCAGCAGTAGTCGTAGCAGTAGCAGCAGTAGTCGTAGTCGTAGTCGTAGTCGTAGCAGTAGTAGGTGGCAGTAATAGCAGTAGTAGCAGTCGTAGTAGTAGTAGTAGTAGTAGTAGTAGTAGTAGTAGTAGCAGTAGTAGCACTAGTAGCACTAGTAGCAGTAGTAGCAGTAGTAGCAGTAGTAGCAGTAGTAGCAGTAGTAGTAGTAGCAGTAGTCGCAGTAGTAGTAGTAGTCCCCAAAGCCCCAAAGCCCAGGATCGAGGAGAGCCTTGAGGAAGCTGGCGCCCTGGCGGTCTCGGATCTCGTGAGCAACTCGGCAGCGCATGCGGTTTTTGGGGGAGTTCCCGGGTTTTCCCTGGGTTTCTTGCTTTCTGGGCTCAGAGTTGTGATTTTATCTGGTTTTGTTTGTGTGTTGTTCTTGGAAGGAGGGGGAGAGAGGGCGTCTTGAACGATTTTTCGTACAGGGCCGCAAGAATTCACGGAGGATTCGCGGCTTTCAGGGCTGGGCGTGCGATTCTACCAGCATCCCGATCTCATGTGCTCACAAAGGTAGGTACAACCTGCCGGCGGATTACATCCGCAACTCAGTCTTGGTTCTGCTATCCTCGACGGAGGCCGCGAGCCGGGCTGCAAGACACGATGCTGGTAGCGTCCTCAAACGTTGGTCTAAATACGTCATAAATAAATGGATAAGTATAAATATAAATATAAATATATACAGCTTCGGATCACTCCATGGTGCGATTCTGTTCTGGTTGGCCTCGTAACGGAACGAGCTCGGCCCGAAGAAAGACAGCCCCAAACACCACCCGTAGAGCCTCGCAGGCTGTAATTCGGCAGAACACCGTCTACACCGGCTCCTACACAGCGCGTGTGGAGGCCCCTGAAGGTCTTGGGGTCATCAGCGCCTTAGTGCTTGCGGCTTCGATTCAGGTTAGGTTTAATGGTTGGCTCTCTGATGTATCGCTGT